GCAGAGGCCACAATAGAAGAAACTGCAGAGCTATCGCTGTACTCTTCTGCAGCCATTGAGGAACCCGAGGAACAACTTCCAATAACTGCCAATGTAGAAGCCGACCGGAAAACTCCAACAGGACTGGACAAGAAGGAGGCAACCTAGTCAGCATTTAGAGTCCTCCCTAACAACCTCCAGCTACGCACACTATACAGATCAACGACCCCACACAACGATAACGTTCAGCAATGGTAAAAAGTTAAGAGCACTAATAGACACAGGAGCCCAAAATTCGTTTATAGGACAAAAAGGTAAAAAAATATTGGAACAATGTGGAACAAAAAGCGACAGAAAAGCTTTAAAGATTACGCTGGCAGATGGAAAAACCAGCAACATAGAAATCTGTTTTACAGCAAAATGTTCCATAGACAACGTTTGGAGAAAAGCCAAGCTACATTTTTTACCAAACCTAGCTTCAGAAGTAGTACTGGGAATGCATGAAATAACAAGATGGGGCCTTGATTTATCAAACATCTTAAACAGAAATCGCGTAAGAAGGAGAGAACAATACCAAACCAGGACAGAACACAGATCCAGATCGTACAATGCGGACAATAACCGAATACCGACCAATTCCAGGGTCAACGAAACACCAACCGCAAGATATCCGCTCCAACAGAGAAGCAAGATATATAACAAAACGACCTACCGACTACCGACCGATACCGCGGTCGAAGACCAGACCGAAAATATACCGACTACCGACCGATACCGCGGTCGACAACCAGACCGAAGATATACCGAACTACCGACCGATACCGAGCCGACGACCAGACCGAAGATATTCCGTCATACATACCGGAATTCACGAACAGTCCGAAACGAGAGCAACTCGACATCAGTACTACACTAAACAATACCGAAAAAAAAAAACAATTACAGGAATTGTTACTAACAGAATTGGAGAAATTTAAACAAATTAAAGGAACAACACATCTAACCGAACATACAATAAAACTCAAACATAATACACCGATCAAGCAAAGATACAGGCCCCGAAACCCGGCAATGCAGAAGATCATAAACGATGAGATAGATAAGATGCTAGAAGAGAACGTGATAGAAAAATCTAATAGCCCGTACAGTTCCCCCATCGTCCTAGTAAAAAAGAAGGATAACAACGGATACAGATTTTGCATCGATTTTAGGAAAATCAACGACATCTCAGAAAAAGATGCCTACCCATTACCGTACATCAATCATATCCTAGAAAAGTTAAAATCTGCAAAATATTTTACCACGTTGAATCTAAAAAATGGATATTGGCAAGTACCACTTTCCGAAGCAAGCAAACCCTTGACTGCTTTCATAGCACCAGGAAAAGGACTATTCTAGTTCAAAGTACTTCCATTCGGATTACACGCCGCCTCCGCTACTTTTCAACGATTACTAGATACAATAATCGGCCCAGAAATGGAACCACATGCATTCGCCTATTTAGACGACATAATAGTACTGGGGAAAACGTTCGAGGAACATATGGAAAACTTAAAAGAAGTACTTCACAGACTACAGCAGGCCAAACTACGAATTAATATAGACAAATGTAAATTCTGCAAAGAAGAGATAAATTATTTAGGCCATGTAGTAAACAAGACGAGAATAAAAGTGGACGAAAACAAGACAAAAGCTATAGTCGAATATCCCGCGCCAAAAACCGTTAAACAACTACGCCGATTTTTGGGCATCATCTCATGGTATAGGAGATTTATAAAAGATTTTTCACGAACTACAGCCCCTTTAACAAAGCTACTAAAGAAAAAACAACATTGGACTTGGGACAGAGACCAAGAGGAAGCATTCAACAAAATAAAAGTACTACTGACACAAGCTCCAATACTGATCTACCCGGACTTCCAGAAAAGATTTTTTTTACAATCGGACGCTTCGAACCACGGTTTAGGAGTAGCTTTAGTACAAACAAACGACGAAGGACAGGAACAAGTCATCGCTTACGCAAGTCGAAACCTAACGAAGGCCGAAAAAAATTACAGCGTGACAGAAAAAGAACTACTAGCGATCATCTTCGGTATAGAAAAGATGAAACCCTACATCGAAGGATACCCATTTTCAATTATCACAGATCATCAAAGTCTACGATACTTACAAACAATGGAAAGCCCTACAGGTAGAATAGCTAGATGGGCAATGCTGCTGCAACAATTTGACTTCGATGTCATTTACAGAAAGGGCTCCCAGAACGTCCTGGCCGACGCGCTCTCTAGAGAACCAGTAGATCTGGTTAGCATAATAAACGTAGAAGATGTAGAACCCGACGAATGGTACAATAAAGCTTTAAATAAAATCCAGACAAATCCGCAACTATTTCCAGACTACTCTATCAATGATGGACTTCTCTATCGACACTTCTGGGACAAATACGATTTAAAAGAGACAGAGGTATCCAACCCCTGGAAACTATGCATCCCAAACCACAAGAGACAACAACTCCTGGCAGAAAACCACGAGCAACCGACCGCAGGACATCTAGGAATAGCTAAAACAATAACCCGCCTAGCTAGAAAATACTACTGGCCAGGGATGTTTAAAGACGCCGCAAAGTTCGTCAGGAACTGCAAGAACTGTCAGCAATTTAAGCCGCAACAAAGCTTAACTCCAGGCCGCATGCAATCAGTCAGAACTTAAAAGATAAAATCATTATGAGATTCGGATCACCCAAAGAGCTAATATCAGACAACGCAAGAACATACGATAACAGGGAAGTACGAAAGTTGCTAGACGAATTCCAGATTTCTAAAAGAAACATTCCGCCATATTCACCCCAGAATAATCCAGTAGAAAGAACAAACAGAGTAATCAAAACAATGATAGCTCAGTTCTGCGATAATAACCATAAGAAATGGGACACGAGCCTTCCAGAACTACTATTCGCATATAATACAGCTAAACACGATTCAACGGGTTTCTCCCCAGCCTTCCTGAACTTTGGACAAGAACTAGAAATTCCAAGTAAAGTCGTAAAAACCCCAAACGACACACAACATACCGATCAAAACATAAAATGGCATAAACTACGAGAAACATTCGAACTAGTACGTACAAACCTGGCAAAAGCTTTTACAACTCAAAGCCATTACTACAACTTACGACGAAGAGAGTGGAAACACACAATAAACGACAAAGTCATGAAAAGGGAAAACCAACTCTCAAATGCCGCCAAAAATTTTAACGCCAAATTAGCACCGAAATTTTCAGGCCCATATACTATAACAAAAGTGTATTCTAATGTAATATTCAAATTAAAACACGACGATAAAAACCGTACAATAACAGCTCATATCAAATACCTAAAACCCGCATTTACCGATTTCCCTACTCCTTAATCAGTCCAAGCACTTACAGTCAACACCAAGTAGTGACAGTATATTTTAATACAGTTTACCAGTAACCTTCAAATATAATGTCAGACACGTTAGAAATATATTACAGTGACATAGAAATGGACGGCACAGTTACGCCGCCACCATACACCGTTCCAGAGTTAATATCACCATTGGGGAACACACCAAAACCTAACACCCCGGGCAAAGGCTGCGAGCCCCTGATAAAGGCTATTTCCAAATTTAAAAACCTTTTCGATGAACCAACCATGGGCATCACAAAAATTCAGAAAGTCCAGTCAATTCCAGTGTCAATCCCGCTGCTCTCACTAATTCCGCCGCAGCATAAAGGAAAAAAATACAGACTGAGACTCCCGAACCGGGTGCTGAGGATAAAAACCAATAATTGAAGTCCCACGAAGGAAGACGTTTTTTTTAAGAGAGAGGAAGACGATTTTTTTTAAGAAGACGATATTTATTTTTTTTAGGGCGGACATTTTTTATTTCGATGTATTGTAAATTATTTTTTAGGGTAACCAAGTACCTGGCAAGGAATAAAAATAAAAAAATTTTGTTCCAAAATTTTTTTTTCCCCAGGAAGAGGGGGTGTAACGATGACTCCAAGCCATCACCGTTAAACCAGCGTGCGCGCGAACCAACCCATGAAGTAAGAGTTTATCGACAGTAGAAAGGGCAAAACTTCGCTATATAAACCGCAACATTTCCTCATAGAGGCAGAATCGACAGGTGTTGACTGAAGGTTCTCTTCTTCCCTACCCCGGCTTGTGGACGTGTTGAGTTCACAAGTTGTTCCTTTTCATACGGCCGTACCCGAAGAGCGTGTTGAGCTTTTCATTACCCGTACTCCGAAGCAGTCGTGTTGAGACTGTCGAGGAGTGTCCTATTAACCCGAATCACTTAAGGGACGTGTTGAGTTCCTTTCCTTTCTTTGTAACTATCGTCCGCTGTTATTAAGTCGGTACAGCGTTCACGTAAAATTTCAAAAACACACTCGCTTGCCGATAACACTAATTTCATACGACAAGGTCAAACTTAATTTGAATAAATAGGCCAGGTACTGAGAAGACTAAACCAAATTGTAAATATGTACATAAGATTTTTGTCAATTTAATTTAAGGAAGACAATAAAGTTTTATTTTTATTTTGAACTCTGTCTCTGACTGTCCAAAAGCTACCCGGATAGTGACTCCTACGAGAGGACGTCACACAGTCTTTTGTTGTAATTTCTTCCCCTTCTCAATATTTCTGCTTGATTGAAAACGTCTAGAAAACCATCCAAATGTCCTGGCAATAAGCATGCTTGATTAATTTAAGCACCACAAGTCCCAAAATTGCATGTAATATGAAGGTTCTAAGTTTATAAAAAAAAAAAGGTAAACATTAATAAAAAATCTAAATTTCTGACTTATTTTGCAACTTTCTGAGCAACAAATAAGAATAGAAACATTAAAAAAATGTCATTTTAAAGGTTTTATATATAAGGTTCGTCTGACGGGGTCAGTGTTACAAACAGGATACTTTTTGCTAATTTCCATAAACTAATAATTAACATTTGTAGTTTAATTTTTATTTTATTTAATGGTTTATTGATTTTAGATGACAATAATAAAACGACAATTAGAAGTTTGCAACCAGGAGAGGGAGACAGATATGAATGTTGCCGTTGCTTTAAATCATGGTCTACAATAGAGGAAGCATGTACCCACATCTGCGAAGCAGATTCGACAATATATGTGAAATGTCGAAATTGCTTCCAGAATGTCATAAGACACGAATTTGATCATCATTTAAACAGTCACGAACCTACATCTCGTTCTGTGGAAACTCTGGTAAAACCATTCACATGTGAAATGTGTTTTCAGGTATTTCAGTGAGAAGCTGCCTTTAATGCACACATGAAAATATCCACAAAAGCGCATTCCCGAAAAAGTAATAAAAGTAATAAAAAAATGTGCCACTTCACATTGGGGAAACCCCGTAAACATGTCCATTTTAACCCCATTATAAAAGTACGCCATTATTACATATAGTACAGTACCGTAATCGAGAAATGACTTCACTACAATGACGTAACACTAAATTTTATATTATATATAACAGCATTTTTATATTTTCCAAAATATCGAATGCTCTCACTTACTTCTTTATCAAAAAAGAGTGAAAAAACTTCAATAGGTGACTTGCCTCCATGGTTGGCTTTTATATTTTCTAAATATCGATCGGAAATGGAATATGGATATGGAAATGGAAATGTGGGTGCATAGACGAATGATGAAAATACCTTGGACAGCAAGAAAAACTAATGAAGAAGTACTAAGGAGCGTCAACAAAGACAGAGAACTGCTAAAGACTTTTAAACATCGAAAAATGTCTTATCTGAGACATATAGTAAGGGGAAGTCGATACAAAATTTTACAACTGATCATTAAAGGCAAAATAGAGGGCCGTAGAGGTGTAGGAAGAAAACAAGTTTCTTGGTTACAAAACATTCGTGAATGGACATAGATACCAAATGCAGGACAATTATTCCATATTGCAAAAGATCGAGAAGCCTTCGCAATGGTGATCGCCAACGTCGGATAAATCTGATATAGCACGCGAAGAAGAAGAAATATCGATCAGGCTGATGTTGAATTACTGCCGAGTACGAAGGAGTATCTGTTTTTACCCAACTTGGGACAAATTTGGATTTATTTTTTTTGCCTGGTTCTTTCTTTGGACGTTTTGATCTGTGGTTCAGAGGAATATCATCATCAGAATCGTCAGAATTCCCATTCACTTGTATTTCATATGTACCTGCAATATCTGTTTTTGTTCCTTCTTCGCCAATAATATTATCATCAATGTCTTCTACATCGGAAATTTCATCTATTTCCGGCGGCACATAAACTACTATATACACGCATTCATATGATAATAATTTAGCTTACCTCATTTCAACTTATATGGAATATAAAACAAATAAACACAAGGAAACTTTCAAACTGATTTAAGTCAAGAAAAAAGCAAATATAACGTTTACAGCACACAGCAATTTTATAAATAGTGAATGAAGTGTATTGAATATTGACGAGATCGTAATTTTAGATTGTTTAGTCAACGAAAAAAATATAATATGGTTTCGGCCAAAGGTGCGTATACGAATCCATCGTATAAACATGCAATTCTAGACCTTATTTTTAAAGTATGAATGAATAAGTTTTTATGATAATAAAAATTTCAACATATTTTTATAATTATAGAATACAAAATATGAATTAAGTTTATAATTAGTATCGGAAAAATTTTTTGTATGAAGATGTGCATAAATTATTAAATTATGAAAAATTATAATAATCTTAAAATATTTAAAAAGTAATATTTTTGTCAAAAGAAAAATGATACTCTATACCTCAATCTATTGAGATGCTACTTCAATAAAAAGAAAATATTAAAAAAATTATTTTCGGGCCAAAAAAAATTAACAATAAAGGACCTTTGGCCGTAAATGAGTTAAGTGGTGTTTACTAATGGTATTTTTTTAACTTAGGCGATGTTTCAAAAAGTATTCTATTTCTTTTGAAAAGCTCAATAATTGACATAAACTATGGATGGAAAAGCAATTGATACCTCGAGTTATCTAAGTTCAGATGATGAATGGCTACAAATAATGGTAACCGTTGGTAATGACTCTTTTGATCTGCAACAGGAACCACCCGAATTAGCTACGGTGACCATCGAGTATCCTCAGCGATCTATATTATTGAATGTTTCCAATATCACGATATATAGTGAAAACGTTGTGCAAGACGTCGGAAATAATGTCAATAATATAAATTCTATAAAATTAAATCAATACGAATCTTTCGTTCAAACCAAAATAATATTCTCGTATATCCGAATACTCAAGACCCAATTACAAATATAATTATTGATAATGAAAACAATACTCATTGTACTGATAAAAATAATATACCCAGAACAATATTATACAGCTTCTTCTTCTTTATGTGCCGTCTTCTACCGAAGGTTGGCGACCATCATACGATAGGTTTCTCTGTTTTGTGCCGCATGAATTATGTTCGCAGCTTCTGGTATTTGAAACCATTCTCTCAAGTTTCTCAGCCAGGATTTCTTCTTTCTGCCCAAACCTCTTCTACCTTCAATCTTGCCTTTCACGATAAGCTGTAGCAGACTGTACTTATCATTACGGAACACATGGCCCAGGTATGACGCTTTCCTCCTTTTAACAGTTGTTAACAATTTCACCTCTTTACCCATTCGTCTTAATACCTCTGTGTCGGTCACTCTGTCTGTCCAAGGTATTCTCAGTATGCGTCGATACAGCCACATTTCTAGAGCCGCTAACTTCTTTATAGTTGCTGCTGTTAACGTCCACCCTTCTACGCCGTAAAGTAGCGTAGAGAGTATGTAGCATTTCGTGGCGCGCCATCGGAGGTTAATGCTAAGGTTGCGGTTGCTTAAGAGCGTTCTCATTTTGATGAATTTGGATCTTGCTATTTCAATTCGGATCTTAATCTCTACTTCTGGGTCCCACTTGTCATTTACTGTATATCCCAGATAATTAAATCGGTGTACTCTTTCAATACGTTCGTCTTCAATATGCAGGTCGATATGTTGAATTTTTTTTACTGATCACCATAATATTGTTCTGAAGCTATTTTCTTGTGGCATTGTAAATTAATTACTATTAAACTGGGAATAAGCCACAATTAAAGATAAAAATACGTTTATTGACGTTTCAATTTCCACTTCGGAAATCGTTCTCAAAATACAAACAGTAAATTAAACAAATTTTGTTTTAAATTTTCTGAATTGTCAATATAAATGAGTCAGATAAAATTAAATTATTAGAAGAATTTTTCACTATGTAACAAAAAACAAAATTTGTTTAATTTACTGTTTGTATTTTGAGAACGATTTCCGAAGTGGAAATTGAAACGTCAATAAACGTATTTTTATCTTTAATTGTGGCTTATTCCCAGTTTAATAGTAATTGATCACCATAAATTTAGTTTTGTTTCTATTGATCTTCAGTCCAAATCGGCTGCCAGTTGTATTAACTCTATGTAGCATCATCTGTAAATCTTCGATGTTATCGGCCAGTATAATAGTATCATCTGCATATCGAAAATTACTTATTGGTACGCCATTCATCTTGATGCCCTCATTGTACTCTTCTAGTGCCTCTAGAAATATTTGTTCCTTGTACAGGTTGAAAAGCAGTGGCGAAAGAATACAGCCCTGTCTTACCCCTCTAGAAATGGTTATGTTCTCACTCACCATATGTCCATTCTTCATGTGGGCTGTTTGATTCCAATATTATACAGCAATCAATAGAAAATGTCACACTGAGAGTGCAGTACGGGTAAGATACGGCAATGCTTTTCTTATGGAGAATAAACGCGCAGGGTTGTCGGTTTTCTCCAGCTGTTAATTGCTCATTGTCTCACAGGACTGGCTTGGATAAAATGCATCTGCCGGCAGTACGACTAAACTATTTTATATCATATATACGTATACAGTAGAATAAAAAGGCATTGATGAGTTATTGACAACGAAAACTAGGAATTTTGCATATAAAACGTCAACATGAGATATACAATTGAATCATATTCATAAGAGTAACATTTGAACACCTCTTTACAAGAACAACATACAATAACTGTAGTTTTAATGTTTTACATAAAATAGAAAAAACCTACATAATTTCTAGGAAAGAATTTGGAAACTTGGAAATGATATTATTTATAGATATTATATATAATACTCAAATTTCCAATTCTTTCATAGAAATTAGATTTTTTCTATTGTATGTAAAATATTAAAAATACAGTTATGTTGTTTCGATAAATAGGTCTTCATTTCTTTTGTAAAACTTCTGCTACAAATTACCATCATTAACATAATCACCTAAATATGGCCATAAACTTGTTTGTCATAATTAGTATTTGATAAACTCCAAGCTTTCCCTATTTCACCTCCTACCCATCCTAAGGATGGGTAGGGGGTGAAAGTGCTTTTGGAAAACGAAACTACACTTCAAAATTTAGTTCGAGTTTCAACAGAGAGCATGGAGTCCCATAAGTTTAAATCCGGTGAATTATTTAACGGTTGCGCTAAACTCGTAGTGTTAAATGTGTTGTGTTTTTTAAAAAATACGGAACAACTTAATGTCAGTGCTGCTGTAAGACGTACTTCGTTGATGACTGGTGTTAGCGAAAGAAACATTTACAATTTCAAAAAAGAAAAAAACAGAATGGAACGTTGAAATCGCCAAAAAACGTAAAAAACGAGTGTGTCAATCAAATTCTAGAATATTCACATATGACGAGGGTGTAAGACTTAGTCTACGGAGAATTGTTCATTGTGAATTTTTCATGAAAAATTTGCTGCCATTCTTAAAGCATATACATAATTTCATACAAGGTAATGAGAATATACAGCCGTTGTCTCTTTCTACTTTATACAGAATTCTGAAAGATATTGGATTTGCTTATAAGAAACGTGGCCGAAGAAGCATCATGGTGGAGCGAGAGGATATTATTCATTGGCGCCATAATTATTTGAGAACTATACGACGTTTGCAAAAAGACCATTGCAATATCATATATTTATACGAATCGTGGGTTAATGTTGGCCAATCTATAAATTACGAATGGTGCGATACTACGGTACAAAACAGTCGTGATGCTTTTCTCAAGGGTTTAAGTACTGGCTTAAAAGCACCTACTAAACGAGGTCCACGATATATTTTATTGCATACAGGTTTTTTAGGAGGTTTCCTTCCTGGCACACAGCGTGTTTTTCTGGCAAAGAAAAACGATGGCGACTATCACGATGAAATGGATGCCACATATTTTGAGTCGTGGTTTAAGGAGACATTAATATCAAATTTACCAAATAATGGTCGCAGGAATGTCATTGTAATGGACAATGCATCGTACCACTCCCGAAAAGAGAGATTCCCTAACAATTCCTGGAATAAAGCTGCAATCAAGGAATGGCTAGTGGAAAAAGACATTTTTTTCGAGGAATGTTATTTGAAATCCGAGCTATTAGAAGCAGCGCGTGCTTTTAAAGATCAATACGATAAGTATTATCTTGATGAGTATGCTTCACAACATAATGTTTATATTTTAAGGCTTCCTCCATATCACTGCGAATTGAATCCTATAGAAATGGTGTGGAACCAAGTTGGGCGATATGTAGGTACCCACAATACCACTTTTAAAAACGACGAGGTACGCCGGTTGATCGACGACGGTTTCGCACGCGTCACAGAGCAAAATTGGCGCAATTATGTCGCTCATGTTGTTGAGAAAAGGGAAACTGAGATCTGGACTGCGGACAACCTGCAAGATCACATAGACCAATTGATAATACACGCGAACACATTAATTGAATATCTGTGAGTAACCTCGATTATTTTAGACTGTATAACCAATAAAATGCATTTACCAGTCCAATCAGAGTATGGGCTTTTCGAATATTGCGCTGGGTGCACGGAAATCGAGTTCCCGGAGGTTCCGCCCTGTATATTTATAGCTATCAAGAAATGTAATTTAAAATATATTTGTATAAAAATATACTCAAATTTGGTACAATTATGACTAGCAATTTACGAGATAATTGGCCGTTTCCAGACTTTTGGGCCACTCTGTATATTTAACTTTTGTTCTCGTCTATAACAGAATAAATTAATTTTATATTGTTAAGACACCTAAATGGCATTTTACTAAAATATTAAGTAAATGATCCTCAACAATTTAAAATAACAGAGTGTTTCAATACTAATTTAAAATAATTCAACTATAGATGAGCTTAAGATCACGCAAATCACCTAGATAAGACGAGTGTGCTGTTTGAGTTATACATGTTTGATTTAAAACTCTTTGTATCTAGTACTTTAAAACTATTTTAAATTTCTTATCAAACTTTACAAAAAGTGTAAAATAAAATTACTGTAAATCCTACTAAATTGTTCGATAAATATATGTTAAATAGGTTTAAAGTTCTGGGCACAAATAGTTTTTAAATTATTAAACACAGGAGGAATGAGTACTGAATTATTTGTGTGTACCATATTGGGTACAATCCGATTAGAAACATCTCTTTATTCAACCTGAGGAGTTCTTTAAATTAAATATCTTCTAGTGAAAGGATTGCTATCATGTTTATTATATTAATGTGTAGTAAACATGCCTACAATATTTTCAAAATCTCAGTAAAATAAAATTTGCTACACTCCTACATAAAAACCAAAAACAGTTAGAATGTTGTACACATAACCTTAATATCCAAAATAAATAAATTTGCTGTCAACTTAATCTTAGAATTTAATAGGCTCTAGAGGTAGAAAAAAAATGACTGAAATAATAGCATTTATGTGACAATGTCGATGTACGGAGTGCCAAAGTTGTAGAATCTTGTCTATACGTAGTATACTATAGGGCATGGCCCACAGAAAATTGTTTTTCTATTTTTATTCTGTCATTTATTTTTCAGGTTCTTCAGAAGCTTCTTGAATTGAGATTAATAAACAAGTTATGGCACAAACTTCTAAAAACAAACGAAGAAAAAGTTCCATTGTTTGGAACTATTTCAAACGTTCTTCAGATCGGCAATTACCAAAGTGTAATACTTGTGGAAAGGAATATAAGACATGTGGAAATACAAGTAACTTATCAGACCATTTGAAAAGGTTACATCCACTAATAAACAATAGTGAGAATGAGATGGAAAAAAACCCAAACTCAAAATTCATCTGCACTTGCTTCTACATCTAGTGGATGTGAAAATATTTCTCACTCAGCTTGTTCAAGTGTTAGGTCAGTAAGTTCCTTTTTCAAGAGAAAATCATTATGATGCACAATCTATCAGAAAAAAATAACTGGACAGGGCAGTGATACAAATGATTTGTTCAGATTTTCAACCATTCACTATAGTAAATGATTCTGGCTTCAAAAATTTGATCAATATACTAGACTTAAGATATGTATTACCTAGCCCTTACACATTAAGTGGAAAGTTGCTAAACCAATTTTATATGGATGTATATAATAACCTAAAAGATATATTACATAATGTTGAATATGTTGCATTAGCATGTGATGGTTGGACTTCACGCTCAACAGAAGCCTATTTAACAGTCACTTGCCACTATGTAGATAAATCTTATAATCTAAACTCTGCTGTTCTTTCCACTAAACCATGGTCTAATGGTGTTAACCACACTTCGGAAAATATTACGGAGGCATTGAAAGACATCATGAAAGAGTGGAATTTAGAACATAAAGTATCGTGCGTAGTGACTGATAATGCTGCAAACATGTTGAAAGCATGTGATTTAATTCAAAAGCGCCATCTTCCATGTTATGCTCATACACTTATTTTGGTGGTACAAGATAATCTTGAATGTGTCCAAAATGTCATCAAAAAGTGTAAGGATATTGTTACCTTTTTCAAAAGCAGTACAAATGCCACGGAAATGTTTAAAAAGGAACAATCAACATCTGAGCTTCTGCAGGAAGTTCCGACACGTTGGAATAGCACATTCTATATGATCCAGAGAATTCTGAAAACAAATGATGCTATAGGTAGGACTATACTGAAATTACGAAAAGCTCCCCAACCACTCAGCGTTGATGACATTGCTGTATTGGCAGATATAGAGAGAGTTCTAATATGTTTTGATACAACTAAGAAAATTTCTGGTAAAATATTATTTACCTTACTTTATATATTCAACTGCAGTGTTTGTATTATTTTTTCTTTTCAGGTGGCTAGTATATAACTATTTCTTTAGTTATCCCTATAACATTTGGTATTTACAATGTTTTAACAGGTGCATTAACTGAATTAACGACTGAAAAAGGCAAAAATTTTTTTAATAAACTTATAGAGTCTGTTAAGAAAAGATTGTTTCCATATGAGTCTCGTACTGTAACCAGAATAGGAACTCTACTTGATCCAAGATCCAAAAAGGAGGGTTTCAAATAATGAAAATGCAGCAGCTGCTGCTACATTTTTAGAACAGTAGATATTCTCTATTATGCAGAAACTGAAAAGACAGGAAGAGTCAGCAGTGCAGAATGACCTAGGACCTTCCACTTCATCTTCAGTTGAGGAATCTATGTCTAGGGGCCTCTTTGGATTTTTAGAACAACGCAATGGAGAAAAAATAAAGTATATGACAGCAGATATGATAATCAAGAAGAGACAATATTTAGAGAGGGCAAATTCGGCTGGAGATACTGACCCACTATTGTTCTGGAAAATACCTACATATATTTTCATTTTTAGTTATCCAATTAATATCTCAATATAGTTTTAAATAGACGTTTTACCATTCAGGTAGCTGGAAAAGAATTTACCCCACTGGAGGAGTGTCGTCAAATATTTATGTATACCAGCTATCCGTTGAGAGTGAACGAAGTTTTAGTAGTATAGGCCAAATTATTTCGGAGCGCTGGTCCAACTTGAAGCCACACAGAGTTAATATGTTAACATTTTTGCACAAAAATTTTAGTTTAATTTGAATTTGGATAGAAATTTCTATATACTACGGTATTCCTTAAGGCCTGAGGAAGCCTCAAGGAACGATTATAAATATGGCCCATAATAAATGATATTTGTGAAATTTAATATTTTTGTTTATTTTCAAATATTTATATATAAAAATTTCAGTTTAATTTGATTGCGTTTTGTTGCTTGTTCTAATAAAGAATATTCTTGAAACTTCTGTTTCTATTTATTTTTATCTAAATTCGATGTCTTTATGAATAACAAAACCAAGCGACACGGCCACCCCAGTAAACATAATGGGCTCTTTTGACCATCACATAATTTTAGATTTCTAATGATACATATTTAAAATTTTCTTGGTACAATGGCCTTTTACATAGACTTTTTTAAGCTCTAATTAAAGATAAGCCACACATAAGTTGCCAAGTTTCAATCATTTTAATGGCAATTAGTAATACATTACACTAACAGAAATATGGCAACTTAAGCGTTGCTTATCCTTAACTAGAGTTTAAAAAATTCTGTGCAAATGGCCAATAATTAACCTTAAATCATACATGAAACACAATTAAACTATAATGGAAAGGCCGAAAGTCAAGAGGTTAAAATTTTTGTTTGTACAGACACCGTTACCTGTGTTGTTTGGTTCTGTATTCATCATTATATTAGTATCAAGTTGATTATACCGAAATATTTCTGTCTGGCAGTGTTGAGAATAATGCATAACTTGTATGCCTCAAATATAAAGAGAGAAAGCATTTAAAAAGTACATTTTAATTATACTATTTATGAATTCTGCAATTTTTAAGGAACAATAACGAGTAAATATTTGTCTCTTTCGAGATTAATTGCAAACATCTGTAGTAAATTGACGAATGCCAAATCTATCTCCTAATCTATCCAAGGTCAATTGCAAAAAAAATTCTGATAATTAACTGCAATTAATCTCCAAAGAAAAAAGTATTTACTAATTCTTATTTTTTATAAATTAAAAATTGCAGAATTCATAATATAATCAAATGCACTAAAATCAAAATGCACTTTTCTAAAGCTTTATCTCATTATATTTAAAGCATACAGCATATAAAACATGCCACACTGCTAAACCGAAATTTTTTGTTCCATGTTTGACATTTGCGGCTATAATCAGCTTGTACTTTCAATAAACTCAACCTTAGTATCATACTATCGAAAACCATCGATAGTTGCTATTACCCGACAAGCGAATGCTGGCGGGTGACGCGTAGAACAAATTGAAAAGTGGAAGGGATTTCTCATTTCTATTGCAATCGGCTAGGAGCTCACATCGTGTAATTAGTACTAGATTTCTGACAGTGTTGTCAAGTATTTACATTTTTATTTGAAGTGGCCCTATATTATAAACTATTATTTATATTTCTTAAAATGGCAAGTACATTAAAAGGCAAACCTTTGGGATCTCAAGCACGAGAAATAATTTTCAATGTTTTCAAGTTTACCAACGAAGAAGCTAATGCAGATAAAGTTTTAGTTGATTTAAAAAAGATACAAGAACGTGTAGCTCAATTAACTGGTAATTATAGTACTCAATCATTTTCAAAATAAATTCAGATTTAACCCTTTGTGTACCAACGGTACTTTTAAGTACCGGCATCATTCAAAGGCATTATAAATAACTCGGCCGTTTAACTGCGCTGTCAGCCCCTGTGTAGTTTATTAGTTTCGGTTGGAAGCAGTGAAATGTCATAAAACTGTTTTTGGTTATGTCTGACACAGCTCATACACGGTTACTAAAAAGGCTCTTTTATAAGTGATATTTTTAATATTTAGAGGATTATAAATTAGATTTAGTGTATCAGGTAAGTTATATTAGTGTATTTAATTTGTGTAATTGGATTTATTATCACTTTATAGTAGTTTACTTCAAATATTTACCTAAAAATATAAACTGGACTCAAAAGCACCGTCGCGTCGGGACTAAAATGATAATAATTATTTTATATTTTTTTAGACTTATTTCTGGGTGTTTCAATAAATATGGAATACAATAAGTGGTATTGGAAAAAGGTATTGACTGATGAGGAATTATTGGAAGAAGCTGAGCGTGCTCTTAATATGTTAGAAGAGCTTTCAATGGATAATTCCCAGGATACAGATGTTGAAAGTGATGAAGATGATGTCATTGAACAGCCCGCAGCAGAATTTGTACTGGAAACAAATATGCAGAATATAGTTAAAGGATCACAAACCACATTTGTTGGAAGAAAAGAGAAGGATGGAACTAAAACCCAAATTGTTTGTCCAGTTGCAGTTGCGGATTATAATAAATATATGGGTGCTGTAGATCATGCCGATCAACTGAGAGGTACCTACTGTGTAGATCGGCGTTCTAAAAAGTGGTGGCATCGAGGGCTCTTGGACATTGCCTTTGTCAATTCTTATATCATATATTCGGAAGCTGAAGAAGATACGATGACGCTCCTTGATTTTAGACGATCAGTTGCCCAGGGTCTAATGAACGAAAATCCTAGCACATTAAAAATAAACAATAAAAAACGCATTAGTAATGAAAACAGACAATCTCCTTGTGTACCATCTTCCAAGAGAAGGAGATACAATTATAGTGTCAATGCTGATGTAAGATTGGAAATCAGAGGAAGTCACTGGATAACGTTCGTGAAAGAGAGAAGAAGATGTGAACAATGTGCATCCAACGCAATACAATCACGTCCTCACTCTAAATGTGTTGCATGTGGAGTTTTCTTATGCTACAATGAAAAAAAACTGTTTTGCCGAGTATCATAATGCAAATATGTAAATGGTTAATAAAATATTTCATAAAAACTGTCTATACAAAAGTCCTCCTTTCACTATCTCTTGCGTCCCGATGGTACTTTAAAGTACCGCTCCCCCCAATTTATATGGGGGAATCACAAAAATATATGTATGTATCATTTTATGAAGTTTTTATACTCTATTATTGTCAAAAAATATATTTACAAGCTTATTTCTCTGAAATTTCCAAGTCTGCTACTTAAAGGGTTAAATAATTTAATTTAAGTTACAATCAATAAAAGTATAATCAATAAATAAATAAAAACTTACAGAACAAAAAAATACCAGTAAATAATAAGTAAACAATGGATCAGCTAATTAGTACTTTACAGTTCACTAGTATTGATAGTATAATTGTTATTTTAAGCGAAATTGTTATATTTACTGAAGAATAATGCTACAGATAATATATCTTTATATGTATTATAATGTTGTTATCACTTTGCATCTAAAGTGAGTTAACATTTTTGTTACGTGCAGGACTAATTCTCTCTCTCTCTCTCTCTCTCTCTCTCTCTCTCTCTCTCTCTCTCTCTCTCTCTCTCTCTCTCTCTCTCTATATATATATATATATATATATATATATATATATATATATATATATATATATATATATATATATATATATAAATATATATATATATATATAATATATATATATATATATATATATATATATATATATATATATATATATATATATATATATATATATATATATATATATATATATATATATATATATATATATATATATATATATATCGGTACCTCAGAGGTAAACTATCGTAACTGCAAATTTCGCTGTTTTCTGATTACATTTTTAATATGTACATGTCGATGCGAATTTTCTGGGGGTAAAGTCTCGTAACTGATACTTTTCATTCTGCTTTAAAACGTAATGTGAAACTATTGTAAACTACTTAAGTACTGCCGTATTAAACTATCGCAAAGAACGTTACGTTTGTTTACCATAAAAATTTGGCCGAAAATATAGAACTGTTTAGGTGTTCAACTAACGTAATCGCACTTACGATAGCTTACCACTATTCAACTGTTTGAATGAGCAGCGTGTTGTCTATAAAGAATTTGTGAGTTCAGAAATATGAGTGACAAAAGAAGTCGAAGAATATTGAAATTAGCTTTATTGGATATGTGTTCTCCGGAGCGTTCATTAACGCACCAATTAGCGGACGAGGAACATCTCCTGACATGGGAAAAATTGTTCATTGGTTGGAATAGGGGTTATTCCAACTTTTGAGCAATTTAAAATTTCCCATTGGCCGATTCTACGGGAAGTCCACTTTCCTACGTCATAATCCTTTAGAACAAAGGATTTTCGTGTATAAAAGAAGGTGGATTTTCTGTAATCGGCCAGTTCGAGCTTACCCTCGTATTAGAAGACTCTAGGTACGGTGTTTATACATCCACCTAGAATCTGACTTTTTATTTGCTTTTACCTGTATTTTGATATATTGTTATTATTGATTTTTGTGTGCATTTTCATGTATTTTGTTGTATTTTCGCTGTGATATTTCGTATGATCATACACGGAGAAAATACCCATTTGTTTCTGGTACTTGTCATGTAAGAAATCGACAGTCTTTATCAAGACAGTCTCTTCGGTACCTTATTTTACTTGTTGTATATATTTGTGTGCA